CAATTGGCGGAGCAGGGTTATATGCGGTACAATATTCCGGGTCGTCTCTCTACCCTAGGATTCGATGTTGCCCGACAGCAGGGCGTCATCACCAAATCCCAGGCGGTCAGATTCGATCGGATACACGGCATGGAAGACCCCGTGGAGATTCTCGAGGGCACTCTCCACATCGACATCCACGCCAAACATGTTCGTGACGTGGATGATGGCCTTTCTGTGATCGGTTACCTTGACGATTGGAACGAGAGTCAGGCCCAGCTCCAGACCGCTCTCCAGACCATCGAGATCATTACTGACGAGAAGAACAGTTTGAACCGGGACCTACAGTCTGTTCGTGACGAATTGGAGGCAATGAAGGCCGCCCACGAGACTGCTGCAACTATGACAGAGTTGTCTAAAACTGTTAGGCCTGTTCCGATGCTCACAGTGGACGTCCCTACAGGTCCACCAGGCCAGACACGTGTCAGCACTACTACGCTACTCAGTCCCTTGGGTCATGGCAGTGCTACACCGGCGACGGCTCATGAAACGGACGGAGAAGATGGGGAGGACCAACCCAATGCGTCCTCTCCTATGGACACCGGTCGTGGGGGTATCAGTACCCCCACGACGGGTCCATGATAAACAAAAGATCGCCTGCTGCCCTTTTAAGTTCCTTCCTTCCAGGAGATGGTTTTGGTGACAACCATCTCGTTCGTGCACAGGGTTCCGCCCGACTCGCCTTCCAGAATATTAACACTACTCCCGACGAGTCAGACGACCTTAAACAAGCACAACTCAACCACTGGATTCGAAGCGAATGTGTGGACTTTTTACTTCTGGCTGAATTGAACAAATTCTGGCCAGTAATTACACCAACCAACCAATGGCGTCAACGAGCCAGCACTATGGCTAGGAAGGGCGAAGGTTTCCATTCGGCGGTGGCCTACAATACCCATCAGCCACGGGCGGCCCATTCTACCACTCAATTTGGGGGCTGCTCGACTTCTGCCTTCAACGAAGTATCTCACCAAGTCCGGTCCAGTGGCGACGATAGCTTGGGGCGATGGGCTTGGATACGTCTTCAGGGCCAAACACGAGGCGTTGGCCAGCGCGACTTGGTGGTGCTCTCTGCCTACCGTCCAAACCCACCAAACGACGGGCATCAAACAGTGTGGTTCCAACATAAGGCCCACTTCAGCCGCACCAACCGCGATGCAGAACCCAGGGAAGCTTTCATCAAGGACCTCTCGACGGCAATCAACAAATGGCGCGACGACGGCTGTTCTATCATCTTGGGCATCGATGCCAACGATGACTTATCCTCCTACTCCCCGAAGTCTTTCCGTTTTCGGATGAGCGAAGTAGGACTGGTCGAAGCGATCCAGTCCAAACACCCAGGGTCCCATCAGGCCACTTACCAGCGGAACCAACCTACGAAATCCACCCATGTTCCACGCCGGCTGGTGATGCACAACAAACGGGTGGTTCAACGATATGTCCAATTGGCGGAGCAGGGTTATATGCGGTACAATATTCCGGGTCGTCTCTCTACCCTAGGATTCGATGTTGCCCGACAGCAGGGCGTCATCACCAAATCCCAGGCGGTCAGATTCGATCGGATACACGGCATGGAAGACCCCGTGGAGATTCTCGAGGGCACTCTCCACATCGACATCCACGCCAAACATGTTCGTGACGTGGATGATGGCCTTTCTGTGATCGGTTACCTTGACGATTGGAACGAGAGTCAGGCCCAGCTCCAGACCGCTCTCCAGACCATCGAGATCATTACTGACGAGAAGAACAGTTTGAACCGGGACCTACAGTCTGTTCGTGACGAATTGGAGGCAATGAAGGCCGCCCACGAGACTGCTGCAACTATGACAGAGTTGTCTAAAACTGTTAGGCCTGTTCCGATGCTCACAGTGGACGTCCCTACAGGTCCACCAGGCCAGACACGTGTCAGCACTACTACGCTACTCAGTCCCTTGGGTCATGGCAGTGCTACACCGGCGACGGCTCATGAAACGGACGGAGAAGATGGGGAGGACCAACCCAATGCGTCCTCTCCTATGGACACCGGTCGTGGGGGTATCAGTACCCCCACGACGGGTCCATGATAAACAAAAGATCGCCTGCTGCCCTTTTAAGTTCCTTCCTTCCAGGAGATGGTTTTGGTGACAACCATCTCGTTCGTGCACAGGGTTCCGCCCGACTCGCCTTCCAGAATATTAACACTACTCCCGACGAGTCAGACGACCTTAAACAAGCACAACTCAACCACTGGATTCGAAGCGAATGTGTGGACTTTTTACTTCTGGCTGAATTGAACAAATTCTGGCCAGTAATTACACCAACCAACCAATGGCGTCAACGAGCCAGCACTATGGCTAGGAAGGGCGAAGGTTTCCATTCGGCGGTGGCCTACAATACCCATCAGCCACGGGCGGCCCATTCTACCACTCAATTTGGGGGCTGCTCGACTTCTGCCTTCAACGAAGTATCTCACCAAGTCCGGTCCAGTGGCGACGATAGCTTGGGGCGATGGGCTTGGATACGTCTTCAGGGCCAAACACGAGGCGTTGGCCAGCGCGACTTGGTGGTGCTCTCTGCCTACCGTCCAAACCCACCAAACGACGGGCATCAAACAGTGTGGTTCCAACATAAGGCCCACTTCAGCCGCACCAACCGCGATGCAGAACCCAGGGAAGCTTTCATCAAGGACCTCTCGACGGCAATCAACAAATGGCGCGACGACGGCTGTTCTATCATCTTGGGCATCGATGCCAACGATGACTTATCCTCCTACTCCCCGAAGTCTTTCCGTTTTCGGATGAGCGAAGTAGGACTGGTCGAAGCGATCCAGTCCAAACACCCAGGGTCCCATCAGGCCACTTACCAGCGGAACCAACCTACGAAATCCACCCATGTTCCACGCCGGCTGGTGATGCACAACAAACGGGTGGTTCAACGATATGTCCAATTGGCGGAGCAGGGTTATATGCGGTACAATATTCCGGGTCGTCTCTCTACCCTAGGATTCGATGTTGCCCGACAGCAGGGCGTCATCACCAAATCCCAGGCGGTCAGATTCGATCGGATACACGGCATGGAAGACCCCGTGGAGATTCTCGAGGGCACTCTCCACATCGACATCCACGCCAAACATGTTCGTGACGTGGATGATGGCCTTTCTGTGATCGGTTACCTTGACGATTGGAACGAGAGTCAGGCCCAGCTCCAGACCGCTCTCCAGACCATCGAGATCATTACTGACGAGAAGAACAGTTTGAACCGGGACCTACAGTCTGTTCGTGACGAATTGGAGGCAATGAAGGCCGCCCACGAGACTGCTGCAACTATGACAGAGTTGTCTAAAACTGTTAGGCCTGTTCCGATGCTCACAGTGGACGTCCCTACAGGTCCACCAGGCCAGACACGTGTCAGCACTACTACGCTACTCAGTCCCTTGGGTCATGGCAGTGCTACACCGGCGACGGCTCATGAAACGGACGGAGAAGATGGGGAGGACCAACCCAATGCGTCCTCTCCTATGGACACCGGTCGTGGGGGTATCAGTACCCCCACGACGGGTCCATGATAAACAAAAGATCGCCTGCTGCCCTTTTAAGTTCCTTCCTTCCAGGAGATGGTTTTGGTGACAACCATCTCGTTCGTGCACAGGGTTCCGCCCGACTCGCCTTCCAGAATATTAACACTACTCCCGACGAGTCAGACGACCTTAAACAAGCACAACTCAACCACTGGATTCGAAGCGAATGTGTGGACTTTTTACTTCTGGCTGAATTGAACAAATTCTGGCCAGTAATTACACCAACCAACCAATGGCGTCAACGAGCCAGCACTATGGCTAGGAAGGGCGAAGGTTTCCATTCGGCGGTGGCCTACAATACCCATCAGCCACGGGCGGCCCATTCTACCACTCAATTTGGGGGCTGCTCGACTTCTGCCTTCAACGAAGTATCTCACCAAGTCCGGTCCAGTGGCGACGATAGCTTGGGGCGATGGGCTTGGATACGTCTTCAGGGCCAAACACGAGGCGTTGGCCAGCGCGACTTGGTGGTGCTCTCTGCCTACCGTCCAAACCCACCAAACGACGGGCATCAAACAGTGTGGTTCCAACATAAGGCCCACTTCAGCCGCACCAACCGCGATGCAGAACCCAGGGAAGCTTTCATCAAGGACCTCTCGACGGCAATCAACAAATGGCGCGACGACGGCTGTTCTATCATCTTGGGCATCGATGCCAACGATGACTTATCCTCCTACTCCCCGAAGTCTTTCCGTTTTCGGATGAGCGAAGTAGGACTGGTCGAGGCGATCCAGTCTAAGCACCCATATATATATAACTGAATCATTAATTGGTTTTTATGCTACTTCTAGAGTATCCAACTGCCGGTGTAATACGGCTGTAGAGGCCAGGAACTATGCTGCTTTTAGTCAGATAAGTTTGAACCACGTTGAGGCATTTTTCAAGAAAAAGTTGCTCTAGGCAGCGATCTACATTGAACCTACCAAGGGACAACGTACAGGGCACCGAGTGCTCAACCTGAATACTAAGAAGATGATTTCTCGACCCAAGGTTGTCGTACTACCCGTTACCGATCAAGTAATCCAGCGTGTTGAAGCTTGGGCTGCTGCCAAAGGTGTTACTTCCATGAAGTTCTTTGATAAGAAGAGAGATTTGGAGACATTTCAAGATGGCGATCAAATTGCAGGAGTGGATGACACGGAACAAGGTTATTTAGAAGAAGCCTTTGATCAGAACTATGAACCTGAAGATGAAGATGAACGTGATTTCAACCTACGTGGACAATTCGATGATATCGATGACTCCGAAAGAAATGAGCCCTTGGCAGATGCAGACAATGATGTCGATGATGTGCCGGAACTCATTGTCAGATTCCAAGGGGATGATGACTATGAATCAGATGACGACGATTCGGGTGATGAAGGCGATGAAGAGGAAGAACCTATTGTGGCCGATTTGGATCACCTTCAAGAAAATGTCGATAGAGGAACCAATGATATTGGAAGCCTTGTTACTGATCTGGAGGATCTACAAGAGCCGCTAGAAGAAGAGATTGTATTTGAGCCTGAAGAGCCTCAAGTAGCAAAAGTCACTCTATCTGGACAAACGTATGCGCAAACTACAATGTCAGGGCTGAACCTTTCTCAGGTGACGATGGAAAAGATGCTGTGGATAAGGAATTGAGATAAATGCTCCTGAGAGATTGTTTTACTCCCAAATTTGTGAAAGACATGACCGCGTCTGAGCAAAAGAAGGCCCAATCATAAAACTCAGAAATCAAAAATCAAAAACTAAAAGGTAGAAGATTATTTTCCATGCACAGCACCAAAACCAAAAACTGTACCAGTCCTACGCGTTTTCTATGTAATGGAAAACAATTGTTGTTGCTGAAACAGGGATATTCCGCATTTTGGTGTGAATCTGAACTGGAATCGGGGCCTGACCGGCTTGCTCACTCCTTCTGCACGGGGATCTGTGATCCGACATCATCACTGCTCGTGGAATTCATTCTTGGTCG